AAGGTTTAGGAAAGGAAGGGAAGGTTTGGGAAAGGAAGGGAAGGTTTGGGAAAGGAAGGGAAGGTTTGGGAAATGAAGGGAAGGTTTGGGAAGGGAAAGGAAGGGACAGGAGGTTTGGGAAGGGAAGGTTTGGGAAACAAAGGGAAGGTTTGGGAAGGGAAGGTTTGGGAAAGTTTGGGAAGGGAAGGAAAGGAAAACTTTGCTGGGACAACTCTGTTCCAAAGGAACGCTGTCCACTTGGGAAAGCAGAGTGTGATGGTTTGTGGGCTGCAGCCCAAACCAGCTGGAATCTTCAGCACCGGAGGCAAAGCCCTGCTGGAAACGGAGGTGAGGAAGCTCTGAGGTGCTCAGGGGTCACCAAAGAGGGGTTGGGTGCCTGTCACGTGTGCCAGACTCCGCTTTTATCCAGACAATCCCTTTGGATCGCAGCAGGTGGTCGGACCAAGCCCCATGTGGTCACTCAAGAAGGACCCTTGGAGAATTCAGTCCATTTTTCTGATTCCTTTGTTTTCCAAGTCCAGCTCCTGAAGTTCTCTCTGGCCAACAAAGCCAGAGGGTCACAGGCACTTGGCTGCTCTGGGGGCTCTGGGCAGGCCTGGGCTTGGGTTTGAAGGCTCAGTGTGGAACAGCAACAAGCCCAGACTATCCCAGTCAGGAAGTGTAGAGAGTCAATAATGCCAACACGATCCCAGTTTGGAGGCAAGAAACTGGAATGGTTTATTTGGACTCACAAGTTCATATTTAAAGGGTTCAGGGTTTACATATTTAACAGGGGGTTTATATATTCGTTGTATTAAAACCGGGGGGGTTTCACAAGGATGAGGGAAGGGGAAAACCCAGGTTAACACATTTTTGGGATCTCAGGAATTACCTCATGGGAGAAACCCTATTTTATCCCGGGGGATTTATAGGGGAGGTTAGGTATTGGATATACATATGAAAAAGGGGGACACAGGGGGTATTATGCAGAGGTCTGATGAGATTAGGATGTGGATTCTCTGGCAGGACAGGTGATAACATCATGCAAGGAGTCTCTTCCATTCTGCTGGAGAAGGCAGGAAGAATCCACAAGGATGAGGGCAGTGAAAAGGGTTTTTCCCCAGCTTTCGTAGTTGATGGCTTTTTGCAGAGGCTGCTCAGTTCCCTCTCTGCAGATATTGTATTTTTGAATGCTACAAGGAAGAGAAATTGGGGTGTCTCTTCAACACCAGTGGGGTTGACCAGGAGAAGAGGCACCAGTTCTGGCTGCTGGGAGTGGGGTTGCAGCTGGTGACCTGTTACAGAGCAACAGCAGGGGCTGTCAGGCCGTGGGTCAGAGAATCCCAGGATCACTGAGGTTGGAAAAGGGCTCTGAGATCATCCAGTCCCCTCTGTGCCCGATCCCACCTTGTCCCCCAGCCCAGAGCACTCAGTGCCACGTCCTGTCATTCCTTGGACACCTCCAGGGCTGGGCACTCCAAACCTCCCTGGGCAGCCCCTGCCAATGCCTGACCACCCTTTCCATGGAGAAATTCCTCCTGATGTCCAACCTGAGCCTCCCCTGGCACAGCTGGAGGCCGTTCCCTCTCCTCCTGTCCCTTGTTCCCTGGGAGCAGAGCCCGACTCCCTCCCTGGGTCCCCCCTCCTGTCAGGGAGTTGCAGAGCCAGAAGGTCCCCCCTGAGCCTCCTTTTCTCCAGGCTGAGCTCCCCCAGCTCCCTCAGCTGCTCCTGCTGCTCCAGCCCCTTCCCCAGCTCCGTTCCCTTCCCTGCACACGCTCCAGCTCCTCTTTGCCGGCTCCAGACGACGGAGATACTCCGAGCTCACCTAATTTTCCCTGGTCGCTCCATCTCCCTTTCCTCTCCCGCAGCATTCCCGGTCTGTCCAAAGGCAGGGGAGAGCAGATGAGTGATTTCACTCCCCTGGAATTGCGTCGGTGCCATCTGCCGTGGCATATGCTGCTCCCACCACACACCGCCTGCTTTGATGAGCACACAAAATTGGATCCGCGGCAAGACGAGCCCCATCAAGGAGACGCCACCAGGATCTCTTGGATCCCGCCGAGCTGGGAACATTCCCGGCTCCGGGACGCCAAAAAAAGCGCCTTTTTTGGGAGGCTAAACCTCAGAGAAGTCAAAGGAAGGGGTATTTAGGAGGGCAGGCATATCACACACACGAGTTAAAGCCCGGCTTTGTTAATGAGGGTAATTAGAGCCGAGCTGCCATCAAAGGGAACACAATCCTGTTGTGTACACAAGCGGAGAAGAGTAAATACCCATTACTTTACCCGTCTGATCTTCCCGGAGGGATGAGGGGAATCAAAGGCTCCTGCCTGTTGACAAACGAGCTCCTTGAGTGCTTTGGGCTCGGGGTGGGAGGCTCGAGGCACGAGCTGCTCGTTCCTTTTCCAAGGAAAGTCCTTCCACAGCGCTCTGTCCCACTGGTGCTGCTCCTCGCCCGTCCCCAGGACCATCCTTGGTGTGGTCTTCCACCCTTTTTCATGAAAAATCTCCGCAGCCTCAACTGTATCATCCTCTCCTTGAAGGAAGGAACCAATTGCATGGAAAGTCTTGGAGGAGGGAGATGAATTTGTGGGAAGTCTTGGAGGAAGGAAGGAGCTGATTGCATGGAAAGTCTTGGAGGAGGAAGGAAGGAGATGATTTCGTGAGAAGTC